TGCTGTTGTGGTTGCTGTTGCTGCTGCTGCTGCTGCTGTTCTTGCTGCTGCTGCTGCTGCTGCTGCTGCTGCTGCTGCTGCTCATGCTCTTTCTGACACAGCCAAGATGAGTAGCGAGATATACACCAGCAAGAAATACTCCGCAGCAAAGGCTGCAGCACAGCAGCAGCAGCAGCAGCAGCAGAAACCGAAACAATATATGTAAAACAAATAAACACAACAGCGATCACGCAAACAAAACAGTAGCAGCAACAGCAGCAGCAACAGCAACAACAGCAGCACCAGCACCAGCAGAAGCATTCGCATTAGCAGCAGCAGCATTAGCATTAGCAGCAGCATTAGCAGCAACACCAGTAGCACGAGCAGCAGCAGCAGCAGCAGCAGCAGTAGGAGCAGCAGCAGCATACCTTAGGGTGTGAAGAGAGCTGCAGCAAGTAGAGCAGCACGCAGTGTAGATGAGGCTGCAGCGCCTCCTGACAGCCAGCAGCAACAGCCCCGAGAGAGAGTACTGCTGCTTCTTGTCTCAACCACGCATCTTCGTCTTCCTGCTGCTGCTGCTGCTGCTGCTGCTGCTGCTGCAGACCCTGCTCTATTAGAGGCAAGACAAAGGGCAGCACCTCCTCTCGGAAAACAGCAGCAAATGTATCTAATGCAAGAGCACTGCCTTTACGTACAGTCCAGCTGTCCCCCCAGGCACCTCTTGCTGCTCCTTCTTCGTCTTCATCTTCATCTGCTGCTGCTGCTGCTGCACTGTCACCGCCTCCTGCTGCTCCTGCTGGGTCTTTGCTGCGAGCAAATCGAGGCGCTAAGTCGTGAGCTTCATCTGCTGTTGCTGCATTATCTTCTTCCAGCTGCGAAGAATCCATGCCTGCAGCAGCAGCAGCAGCAGCAAAGGCAGCAGCAGCAGCAAAGGCAGCAGCAGCAGCAGCAAAGGCAGCAGCAGCAGCAAAGGCAGCAGCAGCAGCAAAGAAGGCAGAGGATAAGATTACATATATACAAAAACAGCAACAGCAAGAGCGGCAGCAGAAGCAACAGCAGCAACAGCAATACGCCCAACAGCAGCAGCAGAGGCAGCAGCAGCAAAGTTAGCAGCAGCAAAGGCAGCAGCAGCAGCAGCAGCATACTGAGGAAGTCTGTCTCTGTGTAGACAGTGTTTGCTACTAGAAGTGGAATTATCTGCGGCAGCCGCTGCTGCAGCTGCTGCAGCACGTGCTGCTGCTCCTCTGGTGGGCAGTTAGAAGCCTCCCTCAGTATAACCTGCAGCAGCAGCAGCAGCAGCAGCAGCAGCAGCAGCAGCAACAAGAGCAGTAAATGAATGCAACTGCAGGTTCAACATGCTGATACTGCAGCAGCAGCAGCAGCAATAGCAGCAGCATCAGCATCAGCAGCGTCAGCCTCAGAAGCATCAACACAACCAGCAGCAACAGCACTAGCAGCAGCAGCCTCAACAGCAGCAGCACCAACGGCTGGAAAAGCAGCAGCAATAGCAGCAGCAACAGCAGCAGCAATAGCAGCAGCAACAGCAGCAGTAATAGCAGCAGCAATAGCAGCAGCAGCATCACAAACAACACCAGCAGCAGCATCAGCAGCACCACCACCACCCACAGCAGCACCACCCACACCACCCCCCACAGCAGCAGCAGCAGCAGCAGCAGCAGCAGCAGCAGCAGCGGGTGTTACCGGCCAGAACTCTAGAGCATCTTGCTTGAGTTGATAATTGTCTGTCTGCAAGCAGCTGATGAAGAAATCAGAGAGAGCACCTGCTGCCTGCAGCACAAGTTTAGCGTTGCTGTCTAGGGTCTGAATAACACCGATAACAACACTTCTTTTAATTGCTGCATTTGCTGCTGCTGCTAGAGATCCGAGTACACTCCAGTATGAGCTGAAGAAAGCAGCAAACGGAGACCCGCTGCTGAAGCCTTGTGCTGCAGATATTATATTCAGAGTGTGCAGCGCCTGCTGCTGCTGCTGCTGCTGCTGCTCTGGTGTACGTACACAACCAGCTCCTCCTGCTGCTGCTGCTGCTCCTCCTGCTGAGGAAGAAGATGATGAGCCTGCTGCTGCTGCATCTGCTGCTGTTGGGTTAGCCTCCTGCAGCAAACGCGGCAGCAGCTGCTGCTGCGCCCAGGGAATGAAAAGCAGCAGCTGCTGGTGTTGCTGCTGCTGTTGCTGCTGCTGCTGCAGTTGCTGCAGCCGCACCCCCTGCAGCAAATCCTCGGTTACCTTCGATAGAGTAGCTAGTGCTGCTTCTGCTACGTGAAACTGAGGAGAGTCCAGCATCAGCAGCAGCTGCTGCAGCAGCTCGTGTAGCTGCTGCTGCTGCAGCTGCTGGCAGCAGACTAAAGCAGCAACAGCAGATCCAGCAGCAGCACGTAGAGGCCTCGCCTCATCCTGGAGGGCAAGCAGCAGCGGAGGCAGCAGCTGCTGCAGCTCTTGCTGCTGCAGCTGCTGCTGCTGCTGCCGCTGCAGCGAGGCTTTAAGGCTAAGACCAGACAGCTGCCGTACTTCTGGGGTGTATGCCGAGCTCCCTAAGATTGCTGCATAATGAATATATACATTTGGAAGCTCATTTATACGCTGCAGCGCAGCAGTAACTTGCTGCTGCACTACGTTGCTGCTGCTGCTGGCCGAAGCAAAAACAGCTGCTATCTCTTGCTGCAGCTGCAGACCCCCATCACCGTCGGCTGCTGCCATTCTCAACCTTATGCTGCTGCTGCTGCTGCTGCTGCTCCTGCTGCTGCTCCTGCTGCTCCTCCTCCGGCTGCTGCTGCTGCGGCTGCTGCTGCTGCTGCAGCGAGCACCGGAACCAGGAGAAACAGCAGAGAGGCAATGAACAGCAGCAGTAGCTGCAGTTGCTGCTGCTGCTGCTGTGGCAACTCCAAGACAGATATTGGGTGAGAGCGAAAAAATACCGCTTCTTTGCTGCTGCGATTGCTGCTGCTGCTGCTGCTGCTGCTGCGGCTGCTGCTGCTGCTGCGGCTGCTGCTGCAGAAGGTTTGCTACTCCGCTAACCCTCTTTTCCCAAGTGCTGTCCCTTATAATCTATGATCTTGCTGCAGCGCATGCAGCAGCAGCAGCAACACCCGCTGCAGCAGAAGAGGGGCAGCCCCCCAGCAGCAGCAGCAGCAGCCGCAGCCGCAGCAGCAGCCTCAGCAGCAGCAGCAGAAGCAGCATCAGCAGTACGACCTTAGGATCCGCCTCTAGTTACTCCCTGCTGCAGTTAAATATATTTTCTATTATTTAATTACCCTCAACTTCCTGTTAGCCGTACTCTCGTTTTGCTGCTGCTGCTGCTACTACTACTATAGCAGCAGCAGCAGCAGCAGCAGCAGCAGCAGTAACACCAGCAACGCCAACCGCGACCGTCGTCCTCCAGCAGCAGCAACACACAAATCCCTTAGCAGCAACTACTGTTGCATCAGCAGCAGCAGCAGAAACAGCAGCAGCAACGAAGGCAGGACCGCAACCGCCACCGTCGCCGCAGCAGCAGCAACAGCAGCAGCAACAGCAGCAGCAGCAGCAACAGCAACATATTGTTAAAGGTGTCCGACTGTCAGTCAACCTTCAACGCCGCGGCAGCAGCAACACGGCAGCAGAGGGCTAGCAGCAGCAGCAGCAGCCGCTGCTGCTGCTGCTGCTACGCAGCAGCAGCTGTAGTGCAGCAGCAACCAAATTGCAGGGCCCTGTATGAGCCGCAGCAACAGCAGCGGCAGCAACAGCAGCGGCAGCAACAGCAGCAGCAGCAACAGCGGCGGCAGGATCAGCAGAAGCAGGAACAACAGCAGCAGGAATAGCAGCAGCATCAACAGCAGCAACAGCAGCAGCAGCTGAAAAACGAAGGAGAAGGGTTGTATACCCAAGGAGGCCCTTGGGTGACGCTGCTGCTGCATCTGCTGCTTCTGCTGCTGCTGCTGCTGTTGCTGTTGCTGGTGAGACAGTGGCTTGAGGGGCAGAGTGCGCAGCGATGGTTTTCACCTTTGCTGCTGCTGCTGCTGCTGCACTGACAGCAGCAGCTCCGTCGTTGCTGCGTCGAGGTGCATGCAGCTTTCTATGTAATAGAGGCGCAGCAGCAGCAGCAGCAGCAGCAACAGCAGCAGCAGCAGCAGGCGCTGCTGCTTCAACAGTTCATCCTACTGCTGCTTCAATCCAGCAGCAGCAGCCGTTTGGGGGTTTTATTTCTCCCCTGTGGGGTGGAGCAGCAGCAGCAGCAGCAACAGCAGCAGCAGCAGCACGACGCAACCACCACCACCAGTACCTGCACCCTCAGCAGCAGCAGCAGCAGCAGCAGCAGCAGCAGCTTCGACGTTATTCTGAAGGCGTCGTCTGGAAGGCCGAGTTTGCTCTCAAGGAGAAAGGTAAAGGCCCTAAGAAACCCCTCTACTTTGATGCCTGGTAAGCAGCAGCAGCAGCAGCAGCAGCAGCAGCAGCAACAGGAACAGCAGCAGGAGCGGGAGCAGCAGCAGCAGCAGCAACAGCAGCAAAAGCAGAAGCAGCAGCAGTATCAGTAGCACTAGCAGGAGGAATAGAATCAGCTACAGTAGCAACTGTAGTCGCAGCAGCAGCAGCAGCAGCAGCAACTGCAGCAACTGCAGCAACAGCAGCAGCAACAGCAACAATTGAAACAGCAGCAGCAGCAGCAGCAATATTCATAGCAGCAGCGACACCGAATATACCTGAAAGAAAACGGCAGCAGCAGCATTAGTAACCCTAAACCCTTAACAAGCCTAAACCCTAAACCCTCCTGTTTCTGGGTTTAGGGTTTAGGGTTTAGGGTTTAGGGTTAGGGCTTATGCTTTATAGTTTAGGGTTATCAAGGGTTTAGGATTTTTAAGGGTTTATGGTCATTAGGGGTTTAGGGTTTAGTGCTTAGGGTTTAGGGGCATCAAGGGTTTAGGGTTTAGGGTTTAGGGTTTAGGGTCATTAAGGGTTTAAGATTGAGGGTTTAGGGTTTAGGGTTTAGGGTTTGCGTTTCAGTCAGGTGGTGGTCCCTCACCCATCCAAACGGCAGCGGGGAGGCGAAGATGCGGCTTTCTGCAGCACTAGGTAAACCCTAAACCCTAAACCCTAAAGAGGGTTTGCGTACTGATGCTGTTGCTGCTGTTGCTGATGCTGTTGCTGCTGCTGTTGCTGCTGCTGTTGCTGTTGACGGTGGTTTAGCTGCTGTTTGTTTGTTTAAAGTGCTTCTGCTGCTGCTGCGAGCGCCTTTGCTGCTGTTTATTAAGCTGCTACTACTACTACTGCTGCTGCTGCTGCTGCTTGTTTATTGCTGCCCCTGACACTGCTGCTGCTGCTGTTGCTGCTGCTGCTGCTGCAGCTGCTTGGCAGTGGCTGACGGTGTGGGGGGTTGGGAGTCGTCGGGGATCGATCCCGGGATCTACTCTAAAGAATTAGTTAAAAGGTAAGCAAGATATTATGCTGTCTCCTTCTGTCTTTGTTTTATTTATTTGGTTTGTTTAGCTGTCTCCTTCTGTCTTTGTTTTATTTATTTTGTTTGTTTTAGCTGCCTTCTTCTGTCTCCGTTTTATTTGCTTTTTTTTGTTTAGCTGTAGCAACAGCAGCAGCAACAGCAGCAGCAGCAGCAGCAGGATGGGTTGTGCTGCTGTGTATGTACAGGATCGGTGCAGCAGCAGCAGCAGCAGCAGCAACAGAAGCAGCTCTGTGTCCCCTCACCGTCATGAAGGAAGCCTACCTCGCCACACACGCTATTGGATCCTGGTAGGGTTTAGGGTTTAGGGTTTAGGGTTTAGGGTTTAGGGTTTAGGGTTTGGTTTTATTATTTAGTTTATTTAGAGTTACTAATAACTAAACCTAGTGAGAGACCTGAATAAAAAATAATAATAATTATTATTATTAAATATTAATCATAAATAAACAAATATATATATAAATAAATAAATACTTTATTAATTAAAATAAATATAATTATCTGCTGCTTCACTCAGCACCTGCTGCGTAGTGGTGATGGATTGGGAGACAAAAAATATTCGGGCTGCTAACCTTGGAGACTCAGGCTTCCTCTTGTACAGGCTAGTGTTGAGGGTTTAAAGGGTTTAGGGTTTAGGGTTTAGGGTTTAGGGTTAGCCAGGGTTATTTTGGGGTTTATTTAGACCTATTTATGGCTATCTAGAGTTTAGTGTTTAGGGTTTAGGGTTTTAGGGGTTTAGTGTTTAGGGTTTAGGGTTTAGGGTTTTAGGGTTTAGGGTTTAGGGTTTAGGGTTTGGGGTTTGCAGGCCTTCATTAGAGAAGATTGTGGCTCGCAGCGATTTTCAGTGTCATTCGTTTAACTTCCCGCTGCAGTTGGGTACAGGCAGCAAAGACACCCCGGAGCATGCACATACACTTGTACGCTAAGCAGCTTCCTGCTGCTGCTGCCGCTGCTGCTGCTGCTGCTGCTGCTGGGGATGCTGCTGGGGATGCTGCTGGGGATGCTGATGGTGGTGCTGTGGATGCTGCTGCTGGGCATGCTGTTACTGATGATGGTGCTGCTGCAGCTGCTGTTGCTGCTGCTGCTGCTAATGTTGCTGTTGATAATTATGCTGTTGCTGCTGCTGCTGCCAATGCCGTTGCTGCTGCTGTTGATGCGGTGGATGCTGCTGCTGCAGTTGCTGAGGGTGGTGCTGATGCTGCTGGGTTGGTTGGGGTGGTGCTGCTGCTGCTGCTGCTGTTGTTGCTGCTGCTGCTGTTGCTGCTGCTGTCTCCATGCGAGTACCGAATGCCTCTGCAGCAGCAGCAGCAGCAGCAGCGGTGTGTTTGTGCTGCAGACAGCTGCGGTGGAGCCGGGCGACATCTTGTTCCTCGCAACAGACGGTGCGGGCGAGGGTTTAGGGTTTAGGGTTTAGGGGTATGAAGGGTTTAGGGTTTAGGGTTATTAAGGGTTTAGGGTTTGGTTATTAGGGGATGGTTTTTAAGGGTTTAGGGTTTAGGGTTTAGCGTTATTAAGGGTTTAGGGTTTATCGTTCATGGTTATTAAGGGTCTAGAGTGTAGGGTTAAGGGTTTAGCGTTATTAAGGGTTTAGGGTTTAGGGGTTCAGCGTGACGAGATGCTTACGGGGAGCTGCTGCGCAGCATTGCCACTCACTGCTGTTGCTGCTGCTGTTGCTGCTGCTGCTGCTGCTGCTGCTGCTGCTGCTGCAGGGGTTTGGGACAACTTGTTTGATGAACAGGTGCTGCAGCACCTTCAGAATGAAGGTGACCCCTTGGTCAGCCAAACCCTAAACCCTAAACCCTAAACCCTCGGCTCGATCCTGTTAGCCCGTAGCACTTCCAAAGCCTTAAACCCTAAACCCTAAACCCTTTTGCTTTGGATACTGTGTATTCAGAAGGCAGCAGAGAAGATTTGCAGCGTCTGTTACCGGCTCTCGCTTAGCCCGTATGCTGCTAAACCCTAAACCCTAAACCCTAATTAGGGTTGCAGAAGGTTAGCTGGTATGATGCATCATCTGTACGTGTGAAAGCTGCAGGAGGTGGGGCTTAGCCTTAGGGTTTAGGGTTTAGGGTTTGGGGTGTATGTGCAGCAAGTGGGACAGCCCGTTTGCTACAAAAGAAAGAGAGCTCTTAGGGTTGCTGCCGAGACACTTGGGAGGGAAGCCCGATGATATAACTGTTGTTGTTGCAGTCGTGCGGTGAGGGTTTAGGGTTTAGGGTTTAGGGTTTAGGGTTTAGGGTTTGGGGTGGATGATGTACAGCAGTGCTGCAGAGGAACGAGCGTTTAGAATTTGCTTCGCAACAACCCTTTTAAAAGGGCTGGGGCTTAGGGTTTAGGGCTTAGGGTTTAGGGTTTAGGGTTTAGGGTTTAGGGTTTGGCTTGTTGCAGGGAAAACAAAGACGGAGTTGCCTCTTCTGCCCCAGCAAACCGCTAAACCCTAAACCCTAAACCCTTAATTGTTTTTGTTCGAGGCCCCAGGACACTTCACACAGAAATAGGGTTTAGGGTTTAGGGTTTAGGGTTTGGCGTTTGGCCGCCGCGCACCCGCAGCAGCCCAAACCCTACAGACTCCTCAAACCCTAAACCCTAGGGTCTCGCTAAACCCTAAACCCTAGGGTCTCTCGAAACCCTAAACCCTTGTCGATTCTCTACAACTGGCTTTGCTGTTTGTCCTAAGGAATCCCTGAGGGAGGCCCCCTAAACCCTAAACCCTAAACCCTAAACCCTACTAGACCCTGGGGAGACACGCGAGAGCCTAAACCCTAGGAGTCTCTCAAACCCTAAACCCTAGTTGAACTCCTTAAACCCTAAACCCTACAGTTTCTTCAAAACACTAAACCCTAGGGGTTCTTGCGGTTTACTGCTTTAGGGTTAGGCTAGCCCTAGGGTTTAGGGCTGCTAGACCCTAAACCCTAAACCCGAGGATTAAGGGTTTTGAAGAAAACCCTAAACCCTAAACCCTAAGGTTTTATCCACGCCTCAAACCCTAGGGGCCCGCCCCTATTGGGCTCAAACCCTAGGGATTCATATACACCCTAAACCCTAAACCCTAGGGTTTGCTACCCATCGTAGGTCTCTTGCTGCAGCAGCAACTTTGCTGCTGCTTCTCCTTCACGTGTTGCAGAGTCAGCAGATCGAGGGGGGGCCAGAGACTCCATGTCCTGCGGTGTACGTACACCGCAATTCTCGAGGGTTTAGGGTTTAGGGTTTAGGGTTTACTGCGACGCCTAGGGTGTAGGGTTTAGGGTTTACTGGGGCGCTTAGGGTGTAGGGTTTACGACTCATAGGGTTTAGGGTTTAGGGTTTAATGGGACGCCTAGGGTTTAGGGTTTAGAGCATGCCTAGGTTCTAGGGTTTAGGGTCTACTGGGACACCTAGAGTTTAGGGTTTAGGGTTTAGGGTTTAGAGTCTCACCATGAAGCACATGGATTTGATATGCTGCCTCTGGAGCTTCCGCTGCAGCACCCCACAAACCCTAAACCCTAAACCCTAAACCCTAAACCCCAAACCCCAAGATATAGCTGCGCATATCCAGGCAGGCGAACGCAGCGCGGTGTTTGCTGACTTAAGGGTTTAGGGTTTAGGGTTTAGGGTTTGCATACGATGCCTTTCTTGTGTTTAGTTTGGCTGCGGAGAGATAAATAAAATGCTGCTGCACCTCCACTGAAGAAACCCCCAATGCTGCTTAGAGACAAAGGCCTCACTGCTGCAGCAGCAGCAGCAGCAGCAGCAAGAGCAGCAGCAGCAGCAACAGCAGCAGGCACAGCAGCAGCAGCAGCAGCAGTAGCAACAGCAGCAGCAGCAGCAGCAGCAGCGCATATTCGGGTCCATTCATCCATGTTAACGAGCAGCAGCAGCAGCAGCGGCAGCAGTAACAGCAGCAGCAAACGGTCTTCTAGCAACAAGCGCAGCAACTGTTCCTGTATCTGCTGCTGCTGCTGCAACAGCAGAGCACCAGCAGCAATACTAACAAGCGGAGAAGCAGCGGCAACAACAGCAGCAGCAAGAGACACTCCATCAGAGCAAGCATTAATACGCCCTGCTGCTGCTGCAGCAGCAGCAACAACAGCATCACCAGTAATGCAGCAGCAGCAACAGCAGCAGCAGCAGGAACAATAGCAGCAGTAGAGGATGACGACCAGCAGCAGCACGAGCAGCAGCAGCAGAAGCAAGAGGAGGAAGTGCAGCAGCTTCACCAGCAGCAGCAGCAGCTGCTGCTGCTGCTGCTGCAGCGACTTACGCTTCCTTCTGGTTGCTTGTATAGCAGCAACAAGAGCAGCAGACCCAACTCCTGCGAGAAGCCCCCTAGCAGCAGCAACAGCAAATTCTTTGTTAGTTATTTTCAGATCTTCATCTCCTGCTGCTGCTGCTGCTGCTGCTGCTGTTGAGTGCTGCATCAATACCGGCTGCAGTAGCAGCAGCAGCAGCAACAGGGTAATAATATAAAGTCTATAGAGCTGTCTCTATCCGGAAACAGATTAAAATAAAATACGCAGCAACAAACAAAACAATAAAATAAAAAAATGAAGGAGAAGACAAACACTCTGCAAATATTTCTGCTGCTGCTGCAGCAACTGCTGCTGCAGCTGCTGCTGCTGCTGCAGCAGCAGCAAAGTAAGCCGCTGGCTGGGGATAACAAAAAGAGGGCCTCCACACAAAGAAAGAAATAAATACTTCAATATTAAAAAGATGTTTACACTCTATTTCAGGGTTTAGGGTTTAGGGTTTATGGTTTAGGGTTTAGGGTTTAGGGTTTTGTCGGCGGGGCCCCATGGGAGTCCTGAACTGCTGCCGGCAATTCTTCTGCGGTGAATGCAGCAGAAGATTGCTGCAGCCTCGCTTGTTTGCATGCAACAGCAGCAGCAACAGCAGCAGCAGCAACAGCAACAGCAGCATCAGCAGCAGCAGCAGCAACTTTAGGGGGGCCCCGCGCCTTCTGTACAGCCGAAGAGTCGGTTCAAGGCAGCAGGTTATAACAGCAGAAACAAGCAGCAGCAGCAGTAGCAGCAGCAGCAGCAGAAGGAGCAGCAGCAGCATCAGCAGCAGCAGAAGGAGCAGCAGCAGCAGAAGTTGCTGCTGGCCTTCTCATTTGCAGTTTGCGGTGTACATACACCGGACGCTGCAACAGCCGCTGCAGCAGGCATACGCTGCAACAGCTGCTGCTTCTGCGTCAACTGCAGCAGCAGCAGCAGCAGCAGCATCAGAGAGGCCTCTCTATAGAGCGGATGACCCTTGGGAGCAGGCGCAGCAGCAGCAGCAGCAACAGCAGCGACGGCAGCAGCAGCAGCAGCAGCAACAGCAGCAAGAGGCGCATCCCTATGGAACTGCAGCGCTAAACACCCCAACCTTTTCAAGCCGCAGCAGCAGCAGCAACAACAGCAGCAGCAACAGCAGCAACAACAACATCAGCAGCAGCACCAGCAGCAGCAACAGCAGCAACAACAACAACATCGGCAACAACAACTTGAGCAACAGCAACTGCAGCAACGGCAGGATCAGCAGAAGCAGAACCAGCAGCAACAACAGCAACAGCAGCAGCAGCAGCAGCAGCAACAGCAGCAGCAGCAGCAGCAGCAGCAGCATTTATGAAGACGTTTTATTCTTTCCTTTGGTGTTGAGCAGCGATGTACGCTCTGCGCGATCGCCTGCAGCAATAACAGCAGCATTAACGAAGGAGTTGCTGCAGCAGCAGCAGCAGCTGCAGCCTGTATGTTCTGATTATCTGAAGCAGCTATCAGCATTCCTGTTGCTGCTGCAGGAAGTGCTGCAGCAGCATCATCAGCTGCGAGGAGTCTCTGTTGCGGCATTTGGGTCGTGCGTCTCAGGTGTCTGGACAGCAGCAGCAGATGTAGATGTATGTTTGCTGCTGCCTGGGTGCAACACTCGTCAGCAGCAGCAGCAAGCGCTTCGTGCTGCTGCTTCTCTGCTGCAGCAAGTTAAGTCGTATTATGTAGAGACGAGATATTTTGCTGCTGTCCCTCTGCTGCACTGGGCCCCCCGCAGCAGCAGCATTGTTGCTGCTGCAGCAACTCTGCTTTCTTCTCGCAGCGGGGGCCCCCGAGTGCAGCAGCAGCAGCACCTGCAGAAGCAGCAGCAGCAGCAACTTGCATGCGATATAAGCGTAAATAATCTGCTGGGAGTTATTAATAGTCGCCTTGTTGCGGTGTATGTGCAGCTCGAACCCCGACTAAAGACATTATGTATATTAATAAAAGCATTTGCTGCATGCAGATGCATTAACAGCAGAGCTGAGGGCAGCCTATCATCTTTTTCAATCACTCTACTGGCTATACACTTCTTACAGCAGCAGCTGCTGCTGCCGCTGCTGCAGGACATAGCGCAGCAGCAGCAGCAGCAGCAAGTCTTCGTTCACGGCGTTGACTGCAGATTCTGCTGCGACCCCCTGCTGCTGCAGCAGCACATGCAGCAGCTCTACGCCAAACATACATCAGACCCGAAGCTAGCAGAAGCAGCAGCAGCTGCTGCTGCTGCTTCTGTTGCTGCAGGGGTCTCCCAGCAGCAGCAACTGCACCTGCACGTGCAGCAGCAACAGCAGCAGCAGCAGCAAGCAAACACGAGCGACGGTGCTACCGCAGCAGCAGCAGCAGCAGCAGCAGCAGGAGCAGCAGGAGCTGCTCCGACGCAGCAGCAGCAGTACGAAATGCTGCTGCAGCAGCATCAGCAGCTGCCAGGGCCGAGCGTTGGTGAGCTGCTGCTGCAGTTCTTTTACTACTATGCATATGAATATAAAGGGGGTCCTATAGCTATACGCACCCTCCCCAGCAGCAGCAGCAGCAGCAGCAGCAGCAGCAGCAGTTTTTTGCATGTAGATAATCCGTTTGAAGTGGGTAAGAATGTTATCAATGTGCAGCCGCATAAACTGTCACAGATTTTGTTTGAGTTTAAGAGAGCTCATCGCCTGCTCTCTCAGGGGGCTTCATTTGCTGCTGTATGCGGAGCCTCTAAACCCTAAACTCCTTCTTCAGGGTTTATTAGGGTTTATTAGGGTTTATTAGGGTTTATTAGGGCTTATTAGGGTTTATTAGGGTTTGTTAGGGTTTATTAGGGTTTACGAGGGCTTATTAGGCTTATAGTAGGGTTTATTAGGGTTTGCGAGGGTTTATTAGAGTTTATTAGGGTTTATATGAGGGTTTGTTAGGGTTTATTAAAGTAGCATTGATTAGGGCTTGTTTGGCTTCTTAGTTTCTTGTAAGTGTTTAGGGTTTAGGGTTAAGGGTTTAGGCTAATTAGGGCCTGAGAGCGTTTACTAGGGTTTAGGGTTTAGGGGTTTGGTGTAGGAGAGGGTTTAGGGTTTAGGGTTTACGCTTATTAGGCTCGAAGTTTAGGGTTTGGAGTTGAAGAGGGTTTAGGGTTTAAGGTTTGCAAGACGAACTGAACTTTAACCCTAAACCCTAAACCCTAAACCCTCAACCTTAAACCCTACTCCCTAATTCTAAACCCTCAACCCCGAAAGCCTAAACTCTCAGACACTAAACCCTAAACCTTTGCTGTACACTATAGAGCTACACCCTAAACCCTAAACCCTACACCGAGGTCCTTAAACCCTAAACCCTCAAACCATAAACCCTAAACCCTAAACCCTAAACAGCACATAAACCCCCCAGTAGGGCGTTTACTGTATGTTTGTTTACTGTGTACAAAAATATAATAGATAGATAAATAAAATAATAAAAATTTAAATTTATTTTACATATTTAATTTAATTTAATTTAATTTAATTTAATTGTTTGTCTTTTTCTGTTTAATTCCTCCTCTGATTGCGGTGGTTGTTTAGGGTTTAGGGTTTAGGGTTTAGGGTTTATGTCTGCATGCGTGTATTTTGGGGCTTTTTGGGTGTATTTTTGTTGTTTTTTTGCTAAAAAGGTGTTATATTTGGATTATATTTTGATTTATTTGTTTATTTTCTCTAAAATGAACGAAAATAATAATTATTTACCTCCGCTGCCCCTCCCTTCAGTGCCAGCGCGAGTTATTGAAGGCGTAGGCCGCCGCATGCAAAGTCAGCAATACTACGATGCGCAGCAACTAATTAAAACATTCTCAAACAGGTAAGTATATATTTTTTATATCTTTTCATCTCTTTTCACGTCTATTTACCCCTCTAAATATTGCTTTTAAACCCTTTCGCACCCATATACACACTCAACATATATCTTATAATGCATACACTAAAATAAAATCTAATTAAATTAAATTATATTATATTATATTATATTATACTATATTAACAAACACTCAAAACTCATCTACCTCATTCACACACAAACACACTTCTATACGAGGGCCCCTAAAGGGGGGGCCCATAAGGGGCCCCCCAAGGGGGGCCCCTAAGAGGGGGCCCCCAAAAGGGTAGCCCCTAAGAGGGGCGCCCCTAATACAGGGGGCCCCTTAAGGGGGGCCCCTAGCTTGAGGGGCCCCCCAAGGGGGGCCCCTAAGAGGGGGGCCCCTTAATGGGGGTCCCAAAGGAGGGGGGCCCCAAGGGGGGCCCCTAGCTTGACCTTAAAGAGGAACCCCTAAAGGGGGGCCCCTCAAGGGGGGCCTCTGAAAAAGGGTCCCCCAAGGGGGGCCCCTATTAATCCTTTGGGCCATTCAGGTGTACAGGGGGCCCCCCTTGGGGGCTCTTGAGCTTCAAGGGGCCCCCCTAGGGGGCTTAAGGGGGCCCCCCTTGGGGGCCCCTGAGGTTCGTGGGGCTGTTGTCCCTTTTTTGTTTGTTTAGGGTATTGTTTAGGGCTTAGGGTTTAGGGTTTAGGGTTTAGGGTTTGTGTTTGCAGGTATAATTTGAAAGGACAACCCGAAATTTCGCTGGCGATTTGCGTTGAATTCACCCGCCAATTTGCAGGTAACCCTAAACCCTAAACCCTAAACCCTAAACCCTAAACCACAAACCCTAAACCACAAACCCTAAACCACAAACCCTAAACCACAAACCCTAAACTGCAAATGCTTAAGCACAAGCCATAGACAAACCGGAACACAAGACGCCAGCTCCAACTGCTTGACGTAAATTGCGAGGGTTTAGGGTTTAGGGTTTAGGGTTTAGAGTCCTTTCTGGTCTCTTCTAAACCCTAAACTCGTAAACCCTAAACCCTAAGTAGAAGAACAAAGAAGACAAGCAGCAGCAGTTGCTGCTTGCGTTTGCTGCTGCAGCAAATGGACAGGGGGCCCTCGCCTTAGACCTAGCGAACCTCGCGCTGCAGTGCATGCAGCAGCAGCAGGAGCAGCAGCAGCAGCAGCATCCAACGGAGGCCCAGCTGCAGCTGGTGAGATACCCCCTGCCTCTCTAAACCCTAAACCCTGATTGTCTTCTATCTACTCTATTGGCTGTCCCTGTAGGGTTTAGGGTTTAGGGCTATTAAGAGTTTACGGTTTACAGTTATTAAGGGTTGAGTGTTCGGGGCTATTGAGGGTTTAGGGTTTACAGTTCTATGTGTTAAGGGTTTAGGGTGTACGGCTATTAAGGGTTTAGGGTTTAGGGTTTAGGGTTTAGGGTTTGTGAGCAGGCAGCGGATTTATTAACAGCAGCGACTGCGAAGGTAGAAGGAGGGCCCACAGCAAAAGACATTGCAAACTATGTCAGCAAGTAAGAACCCTAAACCCTAAACCCTAAACCCTCGCATCCCCATCTCATCTCCAAGGCGAGTTATTACGCATCAACGCCTCTCTTTTGTCTACAGCATGCATGCTTAGGGTTTAGGGTTTAGGGCTTGGGATGTGTGCAGAACTAGTAAATGCTAGGGTTTAGGGTTTAGGGTTTAGGGTTTAGGGTTTAGGGTTTGGGGTGTCTGCAGAGCTATAAATTGGGGGAAGGCCC